CACACACACACACACACACACACACTGACAATCAGATGGCCGAGACAGGCATTAGAAAGATATAGCCAGAGCCAAAGAATGCTGGAAGCTAGAAGAAGCCAGGAACGGACCTCTATCTGCATAGAGCCCCTGGGGGAGTGCAGTCCTGCCAACACTTGGCTTTCAACCCAGTGATGTTGGACTGCTGGCCTCCAGAAGAGTGAGCAAGTAACTGTGTACTGTCTTTAGCCACCAGGGAGGTGTTGACAGCAGCCTCCAGATAATCCAGAAGCACTTCATCTGGCCCCATGATGCAGGCAGATCTCAACTATTCCCATGGACTAGCCCTGAGGATGGTCACAAGGACAGTTCTAACAGCCAGTGTGTGGTGAAGAATGGAACAGGATTGGGATAAGTCCTGACTTGGATGATTGCATCTGGGGAAAGTGTGTGGGAGCGGGGAGATAATGGCATACATACTGTGAGGATGTATTTTCGCAGTCATCTGAAAAAGGCCTGTGGTCACACTGCAGGCTCATGGGAAGTCAGGAAGAGATCACTCAAACTATTAAATCAGGAAGGTGGAAGGAGTTGGGGGGGGTTGTTTTGTTTTGTTTTGTTTTTGTCATTTTTCAGCATTGGAGATCAAATCTAGGGCCTTCCTCTTGTGAGGCAAGGACTCCGCTCATAAGCTACAGTTCAGCCCCAGGAAGGTTTGTTTTGTTTTGTTCTGTTCTGTTTTATTTTTTCCACAGGGCACTGTTATGAAGCCCAAGCATACAACACCTCATCCTGCTGGAAGGTTGTTTTAAAAACAAAGAATGCCAGGAAGGGTGTGCAGGGAGGCCACTGGACTGACACCAGGAGTCCACGAACCGTTGGAGCCTCGGGGATGGCTGGCCTCCACCTCTTCTTGGCCTCTTAGGTCATTCAGGGCTTTGCCTGAACTTGGCTCTCAGCCAGCATGGTAAAAAGTAGACTCAAGTTCAGCCTCTAGATGCCCAATCTGATCACTTGGGCCACTGGAATCCTGCTGGAAGAGAATACGGAGTGCCAGTGAGGATGCACGTGCACTGTCTGTGGAAATGCAAAATGGCACAGCTGTTGTGGAAAAGCATGGTGATTACTCAAGAATGACAAGCAGAACGCTCCAACAACCCTGCTTCCCATTACAGCAGCCCCTGCTCACCTGAAGTCTTGATCCAGGATATCATAGTGGGATCTAGAGTTACCTAAAGGGCAAGGACAGGACGGTGATGTCCAAGGACCATGATGAAGAAAGGGAGAAGAGGTACAGGTTTCAGCTTTATAAGATGAGGGGGGTTCTGGGAGGGAGGGGGGTTCATACCTTCAAAAGGCATGTAAGGGAATCCACAGATATCTATGTGATATGGATTAGATCGATGGTAGTTTTTAAAGTTAACTTTTTAGGTTAGCACCCAGAGTAATTACTTTCCTCATGGTATCTTTATGCATGTGTGTCATTGGACATCGCTACTACACACCCGCCCTCCCCTCTCCAGCTCTCTTCCTTTTCACCCCGTCACGTTCTCCTCTGCTTTATTGTCTGTACTCTATTACACTATGCTCCCCTCCCCTAAAATCTCCCTCCCTGTCATGATCCCTCTTCTAGTTTCCTGACTACAGCCCTCCCCCTTCCACCAAACGCACGCACGCAGGCACACACCAGCACCAGCACACAGATTTACATCTAGGCTCTGCACATGAGAGGAAGCATTGGTATTGGTCTGTACGTTTGTTTCACTTAACACAGTGATTTCCGACTACATCCAGTTCCTGAAAATGTGATTTCACCTCCCTCTCTGGCTGTACAAAACTAGGAAGACTCTTGTACTTTTCTTATTCTTTCTCTTCTCTTTTCTCCTTTTTTTTTTTTTTTTTTTTTTTTTTTGGTTTTTCGAGACAGGGTTTCTCTGTGTAGCTTGGTGCCTCTCCTGGAATTCACTTGGTAGCCCAGGCTGGCCTCGAACTCACAGAGATCCGCCTGGCTCTGCCTCCCGAGTGCTGGGATTAAAGGCGTGCGCCACCACCGCCCGGCTTCTTTTCTCCTTTTTATTCTGTTGTATAATTTCACTTATTTTCTTTCCCTGCTAACATTTTTCTTTATTAGAAATAACTTTGTATTACTTTAATTTTTCATTTATTCTACATTTTGTTGCCTTTCTTTAATACTGTCAGTGGAAAAGTAGTTTTTACATCTTTTAAGTGTATTACTGTATCTGATTTGTTTTTAATGTTGTTGTTACCACTGCTTCCTCTCCAGACATTACTGGGGATGGAGTTCTCCAGAGAAGCTAGTCACTGACACCCCCCACAAAAAATGGACATTATCCACCCCGACACATGTACAAATCTCAGCACAGAAACACAAGAAGCATGGTGGGGGGGGGGCTAACATGTCTCTTCCAAAACTCCATAGCTTTTCAGGAACTGAGAATCCAAAGATGCTGGACAAAGAATGAATTTAGAATATTTTAAGTGATCCATGAATAATAATAATAATAAAAACTCAAATGATTAGCCTGGTGAACTGAAGAGGACCACACAGTGTATGAAAGGGGTGGTTCTCAACCTTCCTGACGCTGCAACCCTTTAGCACAGTTTTTCATGCTGTGGTGACCCCCAATCACATTATTTTTATTGTTACTTTATAACTGTAATTTTGCTACTGTTATGAATTGTAAATATCTAATATGCAACCCCTGTGAAGGGTCATTAGCCCCCAAAAGGGCCATGACCCACAGGTTGAGAACCACTGCATTAGCTCAACTGGATTCAATAGACATTATAGAATAGTCCATCCAGCAGCAGGAACCCACATTTTGCTTTTTTTTTTTTTTTTAACTCCTGAAACTTTTTCCAAAATAGCTTTTTACACTCTAAAGCAACTCCCAACAAATACAAAATAATTTAAATAATCTCTTACATCTGATCAGATCATAATGGAATAAAATCAGAAACCAACAAGAGACAGAATAAAAAATATACCAACACATAGACTAAATACTATGCCTTTTCATGAATACTGCATGTTTTCTCTCATCCATGGAATCCGGACACAGAGTTGAAAGCAGAAGAGGCAATACTAGGTTCGGGCAAGGGGCTGGGGAGGGGAGGAAGACGGAGGGCAAGTAAGAGCCTTGGAAGAGTGAGTCATGGTCACTGCATCATCATACATGCTGTACGGGAATGTCACAGTGAAACTCCCCAATATGACAGCCTGCATTTATAAATGTAAAGATTAAAAAAGAAGAAAAGCAAGGTGGGTTCATCTGATAAAAATCCTGAAAGAGTTGAGAATTACTTGTGGAATTTTCCGTTTAACGTTCTCATACTACAGTTATCACAGGAAAAGAAGCCACGGTTCAGGTGGACCCTGCTGTCAAACCAGTTCGTGGGCCTGGCTTTTCAGGAAGGTGGCAGGTCAGAGCCATGTCCCTTCTGAGCAAGAGGCTCGGGGTATTCTGGGTGTGACAGTGGGGCCCACTAGATCCACAGTAACACAGATGGCCTCGACGCTGCCTCTCAAGCATTCCTTCCAGGAAAACCATCCAAAGGAGGTGCAACCTCCCAAGTTGAAAACTCATCTCCCACTGAAATCACTTCTACAATGACTAACAAAAGCCTCCCAGGTCAAAAAAATAAGGAAAAGATGTAAGGAATGAGCAGACCCAATGTGAGTCTGCTCAGTGTTAACGAGCCACGGGCTGAAAACAGGTGGAATCTGTGTAGTTTTCTCCAGTCCTGCCCAGCACCACGGTCCCCGCAAGCACTAATAAAATAATCACTCAGAAACTTATATTAATTAAACTGCTGGGCCATTAGCTCAGGCCTACCACTGACTAGCTCTTACACTTAACTCAGCCCATTTCTGTTCATCTATATGTCGCCACATGTTCTGTGGCTTTACCTGTTGCCTTTACATGTTGCTCCCTGGACGGCAGGCTGACGCTGACGTCTCTGCCTACTCCGCCTTCCTGTTCCCCCCATCCTCCTCTTTGCTAGTTCCCATCTAAACTTCCTGCCTGGCTACTGGCCAATCCGTGTTTTATTTATCAATCAATCATAGCAACATATTTTTACAGCACACAGGACATCCCACAGCAAAACTACCCACAGTAGGTCTTCACAGCAGCTTGGGGGCAGCTGGAGACTCTTCCTCTCCAGCCACAAAGACCAAGGCACACCTCATCTGCTGTGAAAGAGGCATTCCAAAGCACTGGAAGCCAGATCTCCCCATTAATGAGCCAACTGGAGGAGTATCAGTGATTTGTTCTCTGCTACACTTCTGCAGGCGGCAGAGAAGAAAGGACTTTCAGAGAAACTCTAAATACACCAAGCTCATCTGCCACCTTTGAGAGTGATTTCAAAGACAGAGAAATGTCCCAGGTTCCTACCCCACCCCCGCTTTTTTTTTTTTTCCAGCAGCAGCTACCTATGGCCCAACTAAGAAGTAGTCAAGAGTAAGGACTGGTCATCTAGCCAGGCTACTAGGCTTTCCTTTCTGGCTCAAACACACTGGGACTCCCAGACCAGCAGGAGCTGGGAAGACTGTCACTGTGACATCTCTATAGTCTGGGACCAGGAACCTATAGCTCATTGAGATGTGGGGTCCTAGGGACCTTCTGATTTACGCTGTGCTCTTCAGGCTTCCAGCCCCAGAACCTGCATAATCATTCGGCCCTTTCATACCCGTGGGGAACCTGTTCCCACCAAGCATGGGCCCTAGACCTGGATTGTGGTGACGTTGAGGTGGTATCAGACCACAGTTTCTAGGTGTAGGCCTGGGTGGGCCCTATGGAGACAAAGCATATCCTCAGTTCCCATCCTCAGGAAGAAAGGCCCAGCACTTGAGTTCAGGAGACCCTGCCAAGAGGAAATCCCCAGGACTGCTGAGGTGGGATGTGAAATCCTCCCAGGGTCCACTGACCAGAGGAGGAAGTTGGCTGAAGTTCTGCCTATTAGCTGAGCAAACAACACATTTCTCAGAAGGGCGAGGTTCCACCCCTGGATATATGAGACCCTCAGGAGCAGGCTCCGGAAGAGTGTCTTAGGAGCATCTTCTAAGTCACATTCCACCATGAAGCTTACCACCACCTTCCTAGTGTTCTGTGTGGCTCTGCTCAGTGACTCTGGTGAGTTCCCTTGGAGCTTGGCATCTCCTATGGAGGGTCTGCCATCAGTTTCTGCTCTTTCCTGGCCCCTGCTCCAGCTGGTTTGGGCCCTATAGCCTCCCACTCTCGTGCACCAGGCTGCTGACGGTAGCTTTTCTAGCAGAAATGCCTCCAGAGGAAGCCAGATGCTCCTCCACTTACCCCTTCAAGGGTTTCCTCTTTTTCCTGTGCCCTTCAAAGCCTTCTGCTGCCAGGCCCACGTGAGCCTTCCAGCTGCCTCTCATGTGCCCACTCACCTTTGGCTTCTTCTCCCCATCCACCAGCCTGACAACTGAGTCAAAGGCCAGCCCAGGCTTGAGAATGCCCACCCCATCTGTTCTAAACCTGATTAATGTCCCCTCATTCATAAAGGCACAGTAGGAATGTCCCTGACTCTGAAACCCTACCCATCTTCTTGTGGCTCTCTCGGCAGCCATCTCCTCCCAGGGCCCACTATGAGGCCACCTTTCCTCACCTCTGTTGGTGTCTCCTTTGGCACTGGGCAGTCATCAATCAGGAAGTAGGTGTGTGGCTGTGAAGTCTCCCTTGGGTGCTGTCCCTGGAGGAGTTGGGTCTTCAGGATCCTTGAGAAGGTCTTTGGTGCTCTCTTTTGTGTTGGCAGGTGTTGCTTTCTTCGTGAACTCGGTGGCCAAACCTGTGGCAGAACCTGTGGCTGCCCTTGCCCCAGCTGCAGAGGCTGTGGCCGGGGCTGTGCCTAGCCTACCATTAAGCCATTTGAGCATCCTGAGGTTCATCCTGGCCAGCCTGGGCATTCCGGTGGATCCCCTTATAAAGGGTTCCAGCAAGTGTGTCACTGAGCTGGGCCCTGAGGCTGTGGGGGCTGTGAAGACACTGCTGGTAACGTGGGCATCTTCTCTGAATGGCTCTCCCTCCCTGTGTGGGTGGGTAACCCTCCCTAGTCACCTTCACAGTCATATAGGAAGCAGCCCAGTCTGTATCAGGGAACCCTTGCTTCCTGTTCTGCTCCAGGAAGCCATATCCTAACCAACCTGTGAAGAGCCCAAGGAGCTGTCAGGGTCTACCTTTCGCAGGCTGCCAGCAGGCCATGACACTTGTCCTAGGGCCCCCTCCCCATGGGCTTCACAGGAACCCTCCCCAGAACCAGCAGCCATGCCTTTCTGCCTTGAGGAACCTCGGGTGCCCAGGTCCTCTCCTCAGCAATCTTGGTAGCAGTGAAGGGCACTTTCACACTTGGCTTCTTTTCCAGGGAGCCCTGACAGCATTTGGTTGAGGTGAACCTGGAAGGACTCTGCCTGACAAGATGTACTCTTCAATGAAAGATGGAAACCCTACTGCTCACAACTTCCCTCTACCTTAATAAACATGGCTAGAGCAGCTTGCAGTTGATGTCTTCTTGCCTCAAAACCAATTCCTAGAAGACGCCAAAAGCATCATGTCTCTTTCTGTGTATGGGGTGGGGGGTAGGAAGGGAGAGGGTGTTCTTGTTTTCTGTGGTTTCTGGTATCTTTGCTCAGATATCCCAGTGTCTTCGATTCCCTCTAGTCTCTATTCTACCAAAGAGACCATAATGGTCTGACCCTAATGTTCATGGAAAGGCCCCATAGAATGCAGACACTGATACCCACATCAGGGGAAATGCCCCAGTAAACTTCATTAATAACTGCGTTTTCCTTCCTGGGAAGGGCTTCACTCACTTCTTTGACTACCTACAAACTGAAGCTACTTGATCTTTTACACGAAAACACAGGGCTCGGAGTTTTCCATTCCTATAAGAATCATCAGGGATTTAAACTTTCCAGTGTTGGGAGGTGATGAGCTCACAAACTGGAGTAAAGGGAAAGGCCACTTGGACTCAGATGAGGTTTGAACCTCACTTTCAACACACTGCCCCTACGACCATCAAAGGGTATGGAGCTTTGTGGAAGACACTGGTCTGAATAGTTCCCAAGGTTAATAAGATGAATGGTTTTCCATCTCTGGTGAAGCAGATGGGGACACTCTGACATGTCCTTGGATAACAATAATATGTCCAGACTTTAGATTGTCTGATAACCATGCCCTAAGTTGCCATGGGAACACTGTACACTACAGAAGCTCACCAGAACTGGGGGTGGGCAGGCTTATACCAGATAAAAGAGCCCATTCTGAGCCAGATCTGCTACCCTCCTCAACTTGTGGATTTTCCCCCCAGATGATGAGAAACGCTTAGAAGAAACCTTAGGACTGAAGTCCAAGACAAGCTCCTGCAGATTCCTGGGGAAATGTGACCAGCATAATCCTGAAGAGACTGGTCCCCAGATCTGTTATTTGAGAAGTGTGGAGAGTGCAAAGGGGTGCGCTGTATTGGATGCTGCAACATGTCACCCAGTTTCCCCTTCAAGAGGTCCTTTCCATAGCTGTCAGGTGTTGGCAACTGGTAGCACCTAGCTGAGTCACTTTCTGAGAACTGCCCTCAAAGAACTGTAAGGTCACACTCTGAGGCAGAGGAAGTCTGCATTCTGGCTGACAAAGGATCTATGTATTTCTATGTCACCAGCTCTCTGGTGTAGGTCATAAAGACCTAGACGCTTGGCTTCAAGGGGGAACAAATCTGAAGGGTCTTCACAGGGTCAGGGTCTTTACACCATGGAATCATCGGAGGACTTTGTGACTCCATTACCTGGCAGCTTCCCCTTTGCCCAATATTAATTCCTTAATTGTTTTCCACACCACCACAGAATTGTTTTAACAGTGAACTGTTATTGTTATTAACTTAACGGTGTGTGCAGTATTCTGGCTCCCCATTCACGCAGGTGTTATCTATCTGCATCTTTCCCTTCCTTAAAAATTGTTTATGTGTTGGGGCTGGAGAGATGGCTCAGAGGTTAAGAGCACCGACTGCTCTTCGAGAGGTCCAGAGGTCCTGAGTTCAATTCCCAGCACCCACATGGTGGCTCACAGCCATCTGTAATGAGATCTGGCAACCCTCTTCTGTATACATAATAAATAAATAAATCTTTAAAAAAAATTGTTTATGTGTTGTAGAATATATTTTAAGGTGTGTTTTGTTTATGTTGCGTTTGTTTAACTCTGTGAAGCTGTGTTACTTTGCCTGTCTGAAACACCCGACGGTCTATCTGACAGGGAACTGAACAGTCAGCCAGCCAGGGAGGAAGAGCACTCCATGCTCATAACCAAGTCACCTCTGCAGCCCGCTTCATCTGTTCGGGCATCAGGGTAATAATACTGGACTCAGGCGAGGTAAAAAGTTCTCATCCTGTTTTAAATATTTGAAGAACTGAAAATTTCAAAATACAAGGATTTAAAAGAATGAATATTGATCCTTAAATGTCCGTTGGAATTTACCAGTGAAATCATAAGAAGGCATAGGCTCTTCTTTCCACGGGGTTTTTGTTTTGCATTTCCCATTACTAACTCAGTACCATTATTTGTTATATATCCACTCAGATTTTAAGTCTCTCCATCCTTTTTAGATGTGTAACATTCTACAATATTCCACAGTAATCCTCTCTACTCTGTGAGGTTGGTAGTAATGTCCCTTTAGTACCTAATTTTAGTAACAACTTTTTTCTCTTCTGCTGACTTGGACACTCATGAATTTCACTCATCTTTCCAAAGACACAACAAAGGCCAATTTTTATTTTCCATTTTCTATTCCTTATTCCACAATTCTCTGCTCTGCTCCTCATTCCTTCCTACTTTCTGCTTTGGCTTGTCCGGTTAGTAGACCGTTTTCTTTTTCTTCTTATTATTTTTTTAAAGATTTATTTATTTATTATGTATACAGTGTTCTGTCTGCATGTTAGCCTGCAGGCCAGCAGAGGGCACCAGATCTCATTATAGGTGGTTGTGGCCCACCATGTGGTTGCTGGGAATGGAACTCAGGACCTCTGGAAGAGCAGCCAGTACTTTTAACCTCTGAGCCATCTCTCCAGCCCCCTTCTTTTTATTATTAAGAAATTTTCTATTCACTTTATATACCAACCACAAATCACCCTCTCTTCCCTCTTCCCACCCCCCAGCCTCCCCCCCACCCCCCATCCCCACATTTTCCAAGTCAAGGTCTCCCATGGGGAGTCAGCAAAGCCTGGCACACTCAGCTGAGGCAGATCCAAGCCCCTCCCCCCTGCACCAAGGCTATGCAAGGTGTCAAACCTTAAGCACTAGGCTCCAAAAAGCCCTCCCATGCACCAGGGATGGATCCTGATCCCCCTGCCTGGGGGCCCCACAAACAGTTCAAGCTAAACAACTGTCTCCCGTATCCAGAGGGCCTAGTCTAGTCCTATGGGGGCTCCACAGCTATTAGTCCACAGTTCATGGGTTTCCACTAGTGTGGCTGGTCATCTCTGCACATTTTCCCATCATGATCTCGACATCCCCTGCCCACAGAATCCCTCCTCTCTCTCTCATCGATTGGACTCCCGCTGCCAACCCCACATCAGAGGGCTGATCTCCAAAATATATAAAGAACTCAAAACGCTAGACATCAAAATACCGAACAATCCAATTAAAAAATGGGCTACAGAGCTTAACAGAGAATTCTCAAAAGAAGAATTTCAAATGGCTGAAAGGCATTTAAGGAATTGCTCAACATCCTTAGTCATCAGGGAAATGCAAATCAAAACGACTCTGAGATACCATCTTAGACCTGTCAGAATGGCTATGATAAAAAAAAAAACACTGAAGACAGCTTATATTGGAGAGGATGTGGAGCAACGGGAACATTCCTCCACTGTTGGTGGGAATGCAAAGTTGTACAGCCACTCTGGAAATCAGTATGGCGATTTCTCAGAAAACTGGGAATCAATCTACTTCAGGACCCAGCTATACCACTCTTGGGCATATACCCAAGGAACGCTCAATCTTTTTTTTTTTTTTTCCTTTTTTAAAGATTTATTTATTACATATACAGTGTTCTGCCTGTATGTATCCCTGCAGGCCAGATGGTTGTGAGCCACCATGTAGTTGCTGGGAATTGAACTCAGGACCTCTGGAAGAGCAGCCAGTGCTCTTAACCCCTGAGCCATCTCTCCAGCCCCGGAATGCTCAATCTTACCACAAGGACACGTGCTCAACTATGTTCATAGCAGCATTATTCGTAATAGCCAGAACCTGGAAACAACCTGGATGCCCCTCAACCAAAGAATGGATAAAGAAAATGTGGTACATATACACAATGGAGTACTACTCAGCAGTAAAAAAAAAAAAAAAAAACAATGATATCATGAAATTTGCAAGCAAATGAATGGAACTAGAAAATATCTTCCTGAGTGAGGTAACCCAGACTTAGAAGGACAAACATGGTATGTACTCACTCATAAGTGGACACTAGATGTAAGGCAAAGGATAATCAAACCACAACCCACAGCTCCAGAGAAGCTAGCTAACAAGGAGGATCCTAAGAGGGACACATAGTTAGCCCAGCGAAGGAGAAATAGATGAGATCTACATGAGCAAAATAGGAGTGGGGGGAGGATTAATGGAGGGCAAAGAATGGGGGATGAGAACATAAGGAAATGGGAGGGACAAGCTGGAACAGGGACAGAGTGGGAGAGCAAGGGAAGAGATACCATGATAAATGAAGACATCATGGGAATAGGAAGAGGCAGGATGCCAGGGAAGTTCTTAGGAATCCACAAGGATGACTCCACCTTGGGACTACCAGCAATGGTGGAGAGGGTGCCTAGACTGGTCTACTCTGGTGACCAGACTAGTGAATACAACTGTCATCACAGAGCCTTCATCCAGTGACTGATGGAAGCAGATGCAGAGATCCATGGCCAGGTGCCAGGCTGAGCTCCGGGAATCCATCCACTTTCTTCTTCAATGCCTCTGTATCATAACTTCCCTCTATGCATTATTCTCACTGCATTCCTTGCTTCCATTTTTTTTTTCATTCATTTCAGAGAATGTTCCCTTTTCTTTGATCCACTGGCTATTTTGGTGTTAAGTTCCACTTATTCTTGAATTCCCCAACTTAATTTCATGCCACTAACTATAGACTAAATTTTCTATTAATTCAAACTATTCCATGTACAGTTGAAAAGACAAGCACTCTATTATTAGTCTCACACATTTATTAGATTTAGTTGGGTTACAGCACTGTTCAATTTCCTACTACCTTATATTCTGCCCAGTTTTGTTTTTGACATGGAGCCTTGTTATGCTGTTCAGTAACTGGTGGTGCTGGCCATTGACAGCCCAGCTTGAGTGTTCAAGTATGACTGTTCAATCACCCACTTCCCCTCGTGTTGGCTTTAGTCCTAGTTT